TTTTTCTGAAAAGGTGGTGTCTATTTATTTGTGACCACTCTGTGTATATATATATAGACATGCGTGTGTGTTTTATTTACTGTGGAATTCCGACCGCTCGACAGGTTGTATAATATTAAGTTTGTACTTAAAGGCTAATTTTACTATCAATAATTTATTCACAAAAAAAGTTTTATGATATATTTACTTCTTAATAGAGGGCGCAGATAGGGCCTTAGAACTGAGCAGAAGTGAGTAACGCCAAACAGTAACTGTATTTCATATGTTATTAATAACTATGGTATAAGGTATAAATAGATATATCATGGTTCAGGTATATATATTTGCATATATGAACTTGCCTTTGTACGGCTGATTTGTATATATACCAAACAAAAACTCGATTAAGCCAAAACGAAGCCCAACAACGTCTACAACAGTACAATACAAAATCAAAATTGGTGTATTCACGTGTTTTACACTCACTAAAAATAAACCTATCATTCTATAGGTATTTGAAGAAGTTGTAGCAATCCGTCACAGTTTAATTCATCGTATTGTTATCAGAAGTATGAAGGCTTGGTTTGGTCTGATATTTCATTGGTAGTGTCCAGGAGTGGAATTGTACGAAACTAGTCTGCCTCATAGACACATACCCCAATGAAAGAACAAACCATTCCAAGCTTTAACTTGTTGTTAAACAAATGTTTAAACAACTCTACTTATCCAATTAAGTACAATACAAGTTACAAAAACTTAAAACTAAAAGTAACCTTACAATTTACAACAGACACAAGACGATAATGAAGTTACTAAATAAATACGAAAAGGAAATATGTACTGTTTGTTAGTATAACTGAAGAACTTGTTTATTGTCGGATAAATAGAGTATTAATATATTATATATGTGTATGCTTTGTTTATTCGATGATAAGTTTTTTCAGTGAAATTACGGTTTACTTTTTTGGGGGTTAATAATAAAATGACTGATTAGTTAGGTTAACGACTAGTGATGATACTATCAGTATCAACCGTTAGCCTAATTGATAGTGATAGTATCAGTGACACTGCCAGTATAAGCCCTAGTTAGTCATTAGCCAAAGTAGTGATAGGTGTATACTTAATACTAATAACACTTAACAGCTTTACTGGTAATGGTGATATGTAGGCTTAAGGTATTTAATTGAAAGATAAAACTAATTTAGTATGTATTTTCTGATATAAAAACACACCCTAGCCCTTTTTTTAAGTATAAAGAGTTAAACATATTTTGTTGAAAATGTTTGGGTATTTTTGAATATTAGAGGGAACAACAAGAAGTAACATTAAACCATAGGATTTATTGGTAGGTTTCTAACAACTACTACTAATAATAGGCTAATAGTAATACCATATGACTGGGTTATAACAATTATAAACCTGAAGATGTCATCACTTAACATAAAGAGGTAAATGTATTAAGTTGAACATGTTTAGGTATTTTGGGATTATGGTGCAGACAGGTCAGTGTCATAGGGCATTGCCAAAAAAATGCCGTAGTGCAAATTATGGCAGAAATGTAGATCTCCACAGTATGTTTAGGGTTAATGCACAATGTCTTATGCAAATAAGTACACTATATGTAATCTCACTTATGTATAGAAACTAAGTTGATTGACATGGCATGAAACACAAAAACCATGACATGAGAATGAGTTTATAAGAGAATATTCCACACTTGTGTTTGTAAGCAAATCCATAATTTTTCTGTCTTCCTAATATAACTATAAAACATTTGTTAATTATATACCTCAACTAGTGAAATTAGTTTTATTTTTAGGCCTAGGCATTTTGACTGAGATGATTTTAGAGTTTTAGAATAACATGCACTTTTAAGTAGGCACATCACATATGATAAATTTTTCCCACTAAAATAATGTTATATGAAAGCATTAGGTCAGTATTATCTGATCCTGTGTGTGTGTCATTGAAGGGAGAGAGAGAGATAATTTTGAGATTTTATTTTAAAGCTAAAATTTTGCTTAAAAAAGTGAAGTAATCACATAAAAAGATATACAAATACATTTTACATTATGTTGAGTTGGGAAGAAAATAATATTAAGATTTTCTTTACCCAGGAAAATGAAAATGTATCTCATTTATAAACTCAGGTTTTTGTGCTTTGGCATTCAAATCTAGTGTAAACATAGATAGTGATTTAAATGTAAGAGACACTGGTCATCATTTTTATGTTAGTGATGATACAGTGGTAAAGTTGCATATTCTGACAGTAGAAGTAACAAAAATATAGGAGTCTTGTCATTTAGATACTAAAATATCATGTGGCTTGGTGGGAGTTTTTTTTCAAATACTAAATACCCAGTAGTCCAAAAGTTTGAACATTGATAAGCTATGACCATCTCTCACTTGACTTAGACAATGAGCAATAGTAAATGACTAGACTAGTTTGTCTTTAAGCTTGATGAAACAATTTCAATAAAACTCTTGAACTGGAAAAATAAATATCGACCATCATTCTTGTTTAGTATTGACTAGCATGTGTGTGTGTTACAAGCTACTGGGAATGTTCCTTGAAATACAAGATATCCAGCAGTTCATAATTAGATCATGATTATTAATAAGTTTCCAATATGATAACTGATATTATTTATATATAATTTGTGATAATATAATTTTTCAAATTATTTTTAGTATTATTATCATAATTATATATTATTGTTGCTGTAGCTCATCAGTATTATAATTTTTGGACTGCTGGGTAATTATTATTGAAAAAATCACTGGCTGCTGAGGATTTAGCCATTGTGAAAATAATAAGCCAGGATTGAAACTGCATGGCTGATGTTACTGTTTCATTTTAATTGTTTTTTGTCTTTCCATTCATGAAATTAGACAAAAGATGTTTGCCTTCAGTAGAAACATTGAATATATATTAAAATGCATTCGAACAGTTATGTCTTATATGTAATATTTAATTTTTCCTTCTTTGTATGTTAATTAAGGTTTCTTCATTACTACTTAACAAGAATTCAAACATATTTTGTTATCATGGAGTCATCAACAATTTTTAATATATTTGTGAAGGCTATGCACCAATTATGCCTGTTTAACAAGTGAATTAGTTCCAGAAAGGTGTCCACTTTCAAAATTCAAGACTTGTTATTGCTGGTTTAGAGCAAATTAAGTTCAGTGTAAATCATTTTTCGCTATGGAAGTATTTTATTCAGCTGTTTAGATGATATACGACTTGTTAAAAGCTTATCTTCTGGATCTACCATATGTAAGTCCAATTATATGATGTAGAACCTAATACATTTCATTAGACAAATTATTCAGTGTTATTTAAGTTTCCCATACACATATTATTGTTTTGACATTGAATTTCTTTTGCAAAATTAAAATTGTGCTGCAATACATGATATTTGATGAACGATACTGATGTTCATAAAAAAACATAAAATAGAGAAATGTCAGAACTCGCTTTATGGAGTACTTATGTTAGTCATTTTTCAAATGTATGATTCATGAATATTTCAAATTATGTTAAGACATTGTTAGAGACCCATACTTTGAGAAAGTGTTAATCATAATGGGTGATCCAGGACGTTGTAAGGGAGGTTTCAAGTAGACCTCTTTTACCTATACTGATAAATTTATATTACTTTTGTAATTATTTATAATTACACACTACTAGTAACTTAATAAAATAATAAGTTAGAAAGCCTACAAAATCATTATGAGTAGCTCCAATGATTTCAAAGCTTAAATCTTTATTTCTATTAATATGATTGATATGAAAATAAAAAGTTAAAAAACTTTTCAAATTTTGTAATTAAAATAAAATAGTAATTAATTATATTTAGAAAAAAATTATAAGGTCTATATCTAAATTCATATTTAAGTGTTCATTAAAAGGATGCCTGTGTTCAAGTTTTTTGTTTTCTTTTTAAGTTTTCACATTCAGGTTGTCATAGAACTTGCATTTTTGCTTATTTTGTACATCAAAAATATAAAAACATCTTTCTTGTGAGTGTTAAACTTTCAGTCAATGAAAAATTGCTTTTGTAACAAGTATATAACAGCCATAGATGTTCTTAGCTGTTAAAAGTCCACAGGCTAATTCAATTGCTTTAGAATCCAGTACAAGCTGAACTATTTTTCTCTACTTTTATCACAATAGTATTGGTGAATAATTCACTTACGTTGCTTGTGGGTTACCACAGTTGTATCCTAAACTTTCAATAATTATCTTCTTTTCGTCAAAGTTGTATCCTTAACTTTCAATAATTATCTTCTTTTCGTCAAAGTCCACACAGGTGGGTTCAATCAGTTTAGAACACCCTTTGACAAGACAAATTATTCACCTTATCTCTATCAAACTGTTAATCTCACTTTAACATATCAACCGTTGAGGCTATTCACTCCCACTATGGTTAACTTCATGTTTTCTAACTTTTTTTGAATGAACTTCTCTTTCACTTGACTTTACTTTTACTCTACTCCCACTCATTTTGATCACCACTATTTATATTTTTATCACTGAGGACTCGAGAATATTTTATAACTTTGACACCAATGAATTGCAAACACAACTTACGATATCCTCAACATCAATGAATTAGAAACATCACTTATGGCTCTTACTGAGTTACATAACCAAACTATCATCTTTGAAATAATTACTTTTAACTCTCTTGTTATTAAAAAACTAAACAGTCATGAAATATTAACTCACAAAATTAATTAATTAATACTACCTACACTAAACAGTCTTGTATATCCAACAAGATGCATGAATTCTAGAGAAGTGGAGATAAACCCGGGTAAATTAATTGGCCTGTACTTATGGGTAAAAAGTAATACATAACCAAAGAACCAAACCCAGAATAAATAAAAAACGATAATTCAAACCTAATAATGTATTGAATACTTATACATTAGATACGCTCAAGACGTTCGCACCCATACATATAATATAAATACATGCATGTTGGTGATGAAAGGCAAACGAAACTCGCAAAGTGAAAATTAGCAAACACTTTCTACCGCCAGGCGTCGCAATCATACGTTACAAGAGTATAGTATGTTACACCAAATTAGAAATAGAAATACTAAAACTTATTCTGAATGTTAAACTTGAAAGGCTCTACTTTTGCACATTTAAATATCACATTATTATATATTTCTGAACACGTTTCTATTTATTTTAACTTAAAACTTTCAACGTAGAATGAGTTTAGTTTAACTTCCA